TGTGCCAGCCATAAAGGATCCCATGGAAATTTTCTGTGATAATGAAGGAGCGGTTGCCTTGACCAAGGAACCCAGGGATCATGGCAGATCTCGACATATCGACAGAAAAAATCACTTTATTCGACATCGGGTGGAAGAAGGACTCCTCGTAGTAAAGAGGGTATCGTCAGAGGATAACCCAGCAGATCCGCTTACGAAGGGACTGAGCAGGGTTAAGCACTTGTAGCACGCTAGGAGCATCGGGCTGAAGGACGATATTAGTTTAGATTAGATAGTTTAGAAACGTGTAATAGATAAATTGTAATTAACATTCGATGATTAAATAAAAGAGTATTATTTATTAGTAATGTTACTGTCTTATGTTAATCATTTACCTATTGTTTCATTTTGCATGTTTTGACTTCCTGAATAACAAGATTATTCGAACCGTCCACATTCGTTCATATGTTGGGAGTAGGTATGAATGAAGACTGTCATGAATTGGTGTGTAGATTGTCTAAAGTGTATTAGACATAGCAAAAGTTTGCTACAACATTCATGAGTGCTTATGAACTTGATTTGAGCATTGGAATAAACCCACGCTTGCTGGAATCACTTCATGGAATTTATCACGAGTGATCGCAAGACGATAATATCATATGGTCTTAAAACCTAGATATATGGTTTATTGTTTACTAATTGGTTGTGCATTGATAATGCGTAAACGCATCAGTAAATTGATGTTATAAAACACATTGTTGTGTATGATTTGATTAGTGGATAGTAAATGCATATAAGTCGAAGTTTATCTGTTCCTTTTATCCTAATAGGGTAAAAGCGATATCAGGGCCCATCGATGATTTGATTTGACTTATGTGTCGGGCCCGGTTAGGACTGAATTGATGTGTTCAATTAAGTTCTATGTCAAATAAATCAGAGATCGAGAAACTAACTACTGGATAATAAGTATGACTATGTTCCATGTAATTGTCCGTACGATATCTAGAACAGAGGATTATACGATCCCTTATCTAAAGGACAGGTTACTGATAAGATCAGAGTTCGACAGCGTCTTTGAGAGCTACGATTGCTAATCGGATGGTGCTTGCATTTGTAGTTACTAGACTTATCCAAGTGGGAGACTGTTGGATTAGTATCTAAGCCCGTAACTATATTTGGTAAGTACTTGACCCGGTTGTGCATGGTCCTTTTGGGTTGCCTTCACCGTAGCAATTTGACAGGGTGATTTAATGGAGAGAGAGAAGATATTATGGTTTATTAATATATTATAAGAATAATATATTAAAGGAGAAATCATATTATTTAATTAATATTAGTCATAAATTAATTAAGAATTAATTTGGTGACTAAAAGAGATTAATTGAATAAAGGGGACTTAAACTGTCAAATGTGTGATAGTTGTATTTTGGGCTGGGAAACCTAATGGATTAAAGAGGTGAACGAAATTATGATGGGAGCCATCATATTTTCGTCCATGGCCTGTATTCCAGAAGGTTCCATGGGCTGCTTAATGTTTAAGCTGTCCATTAGGGTTTTGACTGAAACCCTAGCTGCTCACAGTATAAATAGAACCCCTAGGCTACAGAAATCGGCCACTGCTTCTCTAAGAACCCTAGAGTCGATTTTGTGTGCCTCCTCCCTCTCTCATATACCACCCTCTTGCTAGTTGGTGTTTGTAAGCCATTAGAGGAGTGACACTTGTGACTCTAAGCATCAAAGACAAGAAGATTCAAGCAAGCAAACAAGAGGTAATATTCTAGATCTGATTTGTTTCTTGTAATTTCGAATTATTACCATTAGATCTAGGGTTTATATGTCTTGGATGATTGCATGTACAGTTAGTGAAACCTAGATCCAAGCATTAGGGTTTGCATGAGCACATAGGATGTTTTATTGGCTCAAACTCATCAAAAAATACCCCTCATGTGCGAAGCATGTGGGGGGGGGGGGTCTTAACATTTGGAATTGACGACAAACGGACGCAGGGGACCAGGCGGGTAATAAAAAGAAAAGGTGAGGATGGTCTGAGTGCAAAACAAGTGCAAAACAAAAGATAGGGACCAAATGCACAACTTTACCCCACAGGGCCCATTTCAGTAATTTGCTAACACCGGGGATGTTGTTGCTACTAATCATGTTTCGTTAGAAAACTCATACAAAACGCGCTTATTTGATTAATATTAAACCTTGAAACGAGAATGGAGGAAGACGAGAGGATAAAAGTAGCAATCGCATCAGCTGCGTGTCTGAACCCTAAATTCAACTCTCCTATGTTGTTGCCTAAGCTCGCCTTTCCGAAGTCATTACTAAGTGCAGTAGGCATAAGACACACTAATGTGACATGGAATTGTGCCATTTGGTCTTGGTGTAAGATATGGATTATAGATATGAAGTAGGCGTCGTTAGTAAGTTCTCAACTTTATTCCTAGCTGCCACCAGAGAACAAAATCATTAGATTGCCTTAGGGACTATAACCCGGGAGTAGGCTAGACCCGACGATCAAGTTAGATCGATATGTATGAGGAGATGGTTAGGGCTTGGGCCATCCCATTTATCAACTAGTTAGGGGCTAGGTTGTATGCACTTAAATGGCTAGGTTGTATGCGCTTTAGAGGTCTGGCAACACAACCTAGCCCACAACTAGCTGGGCCTGAACTGGGTTGACCCAAGCATAACCTAACTGTCCATTGACTAGATCTATAAATAGAACGCCTCCTCCTCCATAAGGAGGATCTCTCATTCTCAGACATGAGCCTCCATTGTATACATACACTCTTCCCATCAAAATGGTTCTCCATCCAGGAGAAACCATCTCCCATGCACATCGATATGACTTGACTGTCGGAGCATGCTTTCAGGCACAATCCCTAAGACAGTTCTAACATTTTTGTTCTCTGATGGAAGGTAGAAGTCAAGTCAGGAACCCGCTTATGACACCTATTCCAGATCTGATACCAAGAATCGATAACCCGATTCTTTGTCACAGCAGTGGATCTTATGATTACCAAAATGGGTAAGGAACTTTGGTTTGTTCATAATAAGGTAATATCACCTGTAATTACCAGCCATATTATCTTATTTTGAACAGGTCAAACAAGATTAATCCTCTCTAATAAATGAAGATTTTTTTGCCACTTATCACACTCTTATTCAATTTGCCAAATGTCATTTTGTGGTTATTTTAAATTAATTTTTTTCCACATGTCATTTTATGAGTTTTTCTATTTTATTAAATTCTATATAATATTTTAATGTAATAATTGTAATAAATGTACTAATAAATTGATATCAATTTCATTAATGAATTTACCTTTTAATTTCAAAATTCCAAAATTAAAACTCATTAGTTTCTTTTATTTATTTAAATTATTTGTTTAAATTTAAAAGATAAAAAATATTTCTATTATAATAATTCATTATTTAACTTTTTTTTTTAAATTAACCCATGTAATACATGGGTCTCACAACTAGTTGTCAAATATATACAAAAAAAAACATGGTTATAAAGACCAAAATTTTAGTTAACCAGAAAAAAAAAAAATTTCTCGGATGTTGTTGCGACGGGTGTTGTTATTGGCACCTAAAACCACCTTCATAAGTCAAAACCGCCTACATGACTATAATTAACCTAATGAGATGACTGGTTTTTTTTTTTCAATTTCTATTTTCCTTATTGATAACTAAATTTCTATTTTAGATGCACCTGAACTAGATAACTAAATATTACATATTTAGTCCTTTTATTTACATTTATATTCGATTCTTAATTTTTTATTTAAAAAAATTACTCTTACATCTTTATATTATTATTATTATTATTATTATACGCACACATTGTTTATGATACTAGGAATAATCCACTAACATAGTTATTTTATTATAATGAGTAGCGAAGACTCTGTTTATACAAGAAGTATTTTGAGATTATTCGGATCTGGTAATTATAAAAAACAATAATTTTGAAAAAATTATATATATATATATATATATATATATATATATATATATATATATATATATTATTCGTGTTCGTTTGCTTATTTAAATGAACAAAAATCATATTTAGATTTGTTTATTTATTAAATAAACAGAAAATAAATGAGTTTTTATCGAACAATTTATAAATTTTTTGGATATATGTTGGGTTTGTTTACTCTTATAGTTACATTTTAGTAATAACATTAAATTTTAAAAAACAAATGTTAAAAATATATATTGGATTGAAACTCCACCGCACTAAAAACTTTTGTTTTTGCAAAGCTAGAAGCCGCACTGTAGGTTAAAAATATATATCAAAATTAGATTCGTTCCTGACCCGCATACTATTCAAACACTAGTTATGTGGTCGGATTCTATTAGGTTGATCGGAAGTCAACAAAAAGCGTTAGATATTGTGTTGATGACTGTTTTTTGATGTATTTAGAATTTTAGAAATTTCATTATTTTTGGAACGGTTATACTTAGGAAATTCATCATTTTTGATGAGGTGGTTGATAGATCGTTTTTTTGAATTTCTAATAGCTGTAGGAAAACTAAATTGTGTTTTAGTTTCTTGGTTTTAAAACCCAATTTAGTTTCTATTTTATTGTAATGAGTCTTTTTAACTCTCCGTTAGTTTTTAAATAAAATCACACTATTCTAACAAAAATTAATGAATTTTGTCAAACTATTTAGAACGTTTGGATATACGTTCGGTTTGTTTATCATTACATTTTTGGTGAATAACTATAAATTTAAAAATACAAATATTAAAGGGCATTGTAATTAAAACTTTATTAAATAATACAAAATATTTTATTATAATATAAATTTAATTAAATAAAAGTTGTTGGAAAATACATAACTATTAAGATTACAAAAAATAAATTTATATATTAATTGTAAGGTTTAATAATAAATATTAAAAAATAAAGGCTTAAGTTAAAAGTTTGATATATCTCAGGGGAGGTATATGTTATTATAGGTTCTTAATAGGTATGCCAATAAAATTCCCCCGTTGGTGTTTCGGTAGAAAACTCATACAAAACACGCTTATATTAGAATAAACCTTGAAACGAGAATGGAGGAAGACGAGAGGAGAGAAGCAGCAATCGCATCAGCTGCGTGTCTGAACCCTAAATTCAAGCCCTCGTTTGCTGTTGCCCAAGCTCGCCTTTCCAAATTCCAGGTTCCATGATTCAACTTTTTTTATCAAAGTTATGATATCGGGTCAGTGATAATTCGTCGATTCCTCCGATTATCTACAAACAATAGCTATATCGGATTTATTCTGATATCTGATTTTGCTTCTTCTATGCTCTTCAATTTAGGAATCCAAAGTTCTATTTGCATTACCATGTCGGAATCTATTTTGGAATTCCAATTCATAATAATAGGAACTGGAACTGACTATGATCTGTTTGATTGTGATCCTTTCATCGATAGGAACTGCACAAGAGGCGATTACAGATAAAAGAAAAATCCAAGGTCAAAAAGAAATCACAAGGTTCGTTCGACAGCTTCCATTAAAACTATGTTTTATTTATTTTTTTGTTGTTGTTCACTGTAAGGTGATCAATCATGGTTCTTCAGGGAAGCCTTCTAGGCCAAACAGATTAGAAGAGAAGGATAACCATGTTGATGAATTTGTAGCAAGCAAAATCCCATGTAAAACAGCTGAAGATACACCCAGTTCTACCTCATTAGATGTTTCTTCAATGCCAAAACCACAAATACCATCAAAGAAACCATACAAGTTACACTGGGGGTAAGTTATTATAATTTTTTTTATAGCTTTTGATGTTCATAAATGGTTTTTAGGTTTACTAATTTTGCATATTAATTTGTAGGCTTGACACCAAAGAAAGATGGGAAAGGAAATCCAACATGTAGTCCAGAGATGAAGATTCTTAGGATCATTGTGTAACGTGTTTTCCCTTTAGTGCTGAAGGGATAAATGATGTATGTCTGGAGTAAGTAATAAGTGCTGAATACACAAAGAATCTCTTTTTGTTTGAATACGAGTAAATGACCGTTTTACCCTTGTGAATGTATTACGTGGAAAAAACTCCCCTATATATCTATATGCATAAAGTCCTATTCCCATTAAGTAAAAAAGAAAAACACTTTAGAGGTTTCGTTTTCTTTAACCAGTAGTTGAATAGTAAAATGACCGTTTTACCCTTACAATCTAGAAGCAAATATCACAACATTCATCAAATTTTTACTTTGATTTATCTCAAGAAACACTGAAATCCCAAAAGTCAAATGTGTCAAAAAAGTGCCCATAGTATCAGAAAATTTACAATGTGGGCAGATTGCAGAAACTAACTTATTATTAATATGAAGATGAACACCTAAAAATGTGCATATAGATATAGTGAGCTATATCTATATATATATATATATATATATATATATATATATTATATAGCTGGGCTAAGTTCACGTTCAATATCTTCCAAAGATCTCCCCTTTGTTTCAACAACATTGGCAGCTATGTACATAACTGCAAGAACACAGATAGATGCAAATCCCAGGTACACTTTGCTTATCCCAAATTTAGTCACCACACTCAAGAAATACAACCCAATTACAAAGTTTGATATCTGCTCATTAAAAAACATCACCATTTGTTAGTAAAAATAATCATTTTTTTTAAAGATTGAACATAAAATAAACTTACCCAATGCATTCCAAGTGATAAGGCAACTGCTTTTGCTCTAATTCTGGAGGCAAAAATCTCTGGTAATAGTAGAGCAGGAACAGGGCCAGCACCAAGTGAAAATGATAGCACATACCTGAAGAATTAATTTGTGGGTGATTAATTAATTATATGAATAAAAGAATATAAGAATGAAATTTATATAATTTGGTAAAAAATTTAACTCACAAAATAGTCCCGATGACAGCAAGTGGTCCAGAATATGGTGCTAAAACTTTCCAAGTGAAGGATAATGAGAGCAGCATCATGGAAATAGCCTTGCAGATAAAACATGTATCAAATATTTTTTTTACATGGTTTTGAAGTTTATATAATTACAAAAATGATATTTAACAAAATTATCCCTATATTTAATTATGTGCATACCATTCCAGAAAAGCTTGTGATGAGAAGACTTTTCCTCCCTTGTTTATCCATCAAAGAAGACGCAATCATTGTGCCTGAAATAAAATCAACTTCCATCCTTTAGAAAAAAACACAACATTTTACCATTTTCCATCTCCAAATTGAAAAACCAAAAAACAATCATCAAACCAAAAACATTGGCTGCTCCAACAGCAGCACTTGCTGCCACGTCAGATGCAACGCCAGCTGTACGGAAGACAGAAGTGGAATAATACACAACCGCATTTATTCCAGCCAATTGTTGGAACAAGAAAAGTGCTGCACCAACACTCACAACTGCCATCAAAAAATAAAAACAAAATTAAATAAAATGAGTACTGACAGGACAAGACAGGACAAAACAGAACAGGTTGTACTGATTTGATTTCACCTTTGAAATAGCGGGAACTGAAAAGGTCAAACCATCCGGCATCTTGTTCTTCTGAGCCTTGATTGGATGCACTCAAGTCCGCCATAACTTCGGTGACCCTCCCCTCACCGTATAATGTCTTTATTGCTTTTTCAGCATCGGAGATTTTCCCATGCTGAACAAGCCAACGAGGGGATTCTGGAGAAAATGCCATTCCAATTGCCAATAGAACTGAAGGGATCACTGCAATACCAAACATTGTTCTCCACCTGGAAAACAAACAGACTGAGTACTCACAGGACAAGACAGGACAGGACAGAACAGGTTGTACTGTGTTTTGAAAATAGTGGGAAACATTAAATCACCATAGAGGGTTTCCGGCTAAGGGTAGTCCAGCTACCAAAGCTGCAAGGATTCCAATGCAAATGAATAACTGGTTGATAGATCCAAGTGTGCCACGGATTTCGGTTGGTGATATCTAAAAAAAAATATTTAATGTGAGAAATGTAAAGTTTTTGAATAAAAATGTAGAATCTTCTTTTTACCTCGGATATGTAAAGAGGGACAATAGCAGATGATATGCCAATTCCAATGCCAGCAAGCAAGCGGCCTATGATCATGGTTTGTACATTTGTAGCTGTGGCACTGGAAAATTTGATCATATTAATAACATGTGTAAATACAGAATCATAACCACAACTGTGATAGCTAAAAGATGGGAGAATATTATATCAAACCAAAGAAATGCTCCAACTGCAAGTGGAATTGCATCAAGTAGAAAAGTTTTTGTTCTTCCAAATTGGTCAGCTAGAGATCCTCCTGTAAATGAACCAACTGTGGCACCAGCGAGAGTGGAGCTAACAATCCATCCTTGTAGGACTGTGTTTTCAGCAATACCAAGATCCTTGGCAAGATACTCAAGTGCACCATTGACAACACTGAAGCAGAAACAGATTGGGAATTGGATGAATTATATTATAGAACAGTAGTAGTTTTATGATATGTAGAATTATGTGATGTACCCTAGATGATATCCGAACAATATTGCTCCCAGACTTGCAATACCAACATAAGGCAAAACTGATCCAGAAGACTTTGATTGGATCTTGAGAGGAGTAATATCTCCATCTGTATTTGATCATTTGTGTTAGAAAATGGTGATTCTAAATTGAATGTCTAATGGTTTTGACAAGTAGATGATTGCCAGAATACACAAGTTGATTGCAACATTCAAAATCTCAAACAACATTAAACTTTTATGATGAACAACTTAACCGAACTAATTGATTCACAGAAGAATCAAATGACATTAGGTCAAACACCAACACACAGAATACTTGTGCGCAAAATTGGAACGAATTATGAAGTAAATAGAGAGCATAATCCAATGAAACTAACCGGAAGCTTGAGCTTTGACTGATCTGGACTTTGTAGAGGAGCGGAACACACTTCTGGCGCCGGCGCTACCAGGCTCTATGCGGCGCATATGACCGGCACCGAGTCGCGAGACAAAATCAGAATCTCTCCCGTTCCCAATCATGCGCACAGTGCTTTTTCTGTTCCTGAATTGACACGAACCCGACGAAACCCTACTGCTATGATTTTGGACATGGAAACCATTGACACTGACGCTTAGAGCTTGCATCTTCAGTTACAAAATTTCGAGAAATCAACACTGTTTATTACTTGTGAAAGCAATGCTTGTAATGAACAGGATCGAATGTAGGGAAAACGCAGAGAATTTAAACAAATTGATTGAACTCGAGTGAGTGTTGATCTGAAGGTGGAGGAGGTATGAGGGGTGGGAGTGGGACCCTGACGTGTTCTTGTTGTTTCCGTTGCTTTGGTGGCACCGATCCAATCGACATGTATTTTATTTGTAGTTTGAGGATTTGAGAAAATGAAAAAATATGTAATGTTGTTGAATTTGTTGAAATTTGGTTAGATTTCGGATTGGATTTTAGTACACGCAGATGTCATGTGACTTTCTTCATCCTAACCGGATGACACTTCCACGTGCTTCTGCGTATTATACAGTACATAGATATCACTTTGAAATACTTTCATTATTAATTGAAATTGAAATAATTACTAATCATATGGTCATGTCATATCATTTTATATTACGATGATTAACAATAAAATTATAAATTAAAGAGAAATGATCATAACTTGAAAAAAATAAAATATATCCTTTTTTTTTTAACAATTAAATATTTTATATTTATAAGAAAGGTTAGCGTAAATCTAACGAAAAATTACAAAGGAATAAACAATATCTGATTTAACCTTCAAAACATCCCAGTAACACTAACACTAAATTTCTTTCCCATGCACAATCTAATTATAAGAAGATCTATCTATCAATCAACAAATTCCTTCTAATATTAAGATCATCAAAAAGAACATCGTTACGGAAGTTTCAAATGAGCCACTACATGGTCACAATTATAAACTCCAAAACTGTACGTTTGACACTAGAAACTCGAACATTATTGATCCAATTAACAACATCTTTGACCCCGACAAAGGAAGGGTTGTTTAAATCACATCATCTGCCTGAAAACACAACTACACAACCACAAATGATAATATGCGACAAATTTTCAAGTACGAGTTACAAATGCCGCAAACAATTCAAAAACATCCCATACTAAAATTTTTGGATTGTGGACAAAAAACAATTCCGAAATTTCAAGAAAAAAAAAATATGAAATTCAAAAACAAATTTGAAATTTCAAGAAAATGTGTTTTTTTACTGAAATATATCTAAAAAGTTAAACAAATATAACAAATGAAATACATATATATATACACACACACACGAGCTTAAAAGACAACATTTGACTGAAAAAATATATGATATTATATATTTCGAAGATTTCTGACTTAAAAACTACTCCACGTGTGTTGGGTGACACATCATTGAACTCTCCTCTTTAAATCACTTATCACCTTACTTTAAGTTATATTATTCAACATAGATTTGTTTAATTTTTTTAAACAACATGTTTATTATTTTAAAAATATTATTAAGGATATTATAAACAATTCGAGTATATTTTACATAATTTTCAAACCATTTGGTAAATTTCATATAAATAATTGATTTGCATATGATTAAACTAAATAAATATTTGATTTAGAATTATTTTTAACTATTGTATGGTTAATTTCAGTTTATTTCAACAGCCTGTAGACGTTAAAAAACAAACAAACTTTTTATTACAGACTGCAGCTGTGTAGTCCACCTCTTCTGCTGCAGAGGGTTGCAGATGTGGTCCGCAGACTTCATGCGTTTTTCCTTCAAAAAAACAAACAACATTTTATGTGTTATTTGTTTTTTGTCTGCAGATCTTCTTGGTCTCTTCTGTCTGCGCCGCACAGACTACGCACAGACATTAGACTTCACAGACTGTTTTTTTTTTGAAAACTGCATACATAAAAAGGTTTGTGCGTCCTCTTCTTGGCGCATATGTGGACCATAGTCTTCAAACATCTTCAGACGTTTTCTAGCCTAAAAAACACTTATATCTTTGTTTTTTGTTTTTTTTAAATTTTATTTTTATAGCTTAGATTTATTCCAATTAGGAAAAAAAAAGTTAAAATGCTTGAAGAAAAAAGGTTCCGGCGACACAATCATGACTTCTGTGACAAATTTATAAATAAATATTTAATTACAATAATGATTGTTAGAGCTATTTATATAGATATAAAAAAGAAAATCCTAATATTGTCTTATATTTGCTGTGTCAAATTTTATAAAACATTATTTAATATAGTGTCATTCATTTCTTAGAAAAAATATTTATGCTCGACTTTTAATTGATTTAATTGAAAAGGTAAAATGAAAAATTTGAAGATTTTCATTTAAATCAATATTTATTTCCGTCAATTTTATGTGTTAAATTCTTTTATCCTTAATCACAATGTTTAGGTATAACTTTGTAATCAAAGTTAGTTGATTTTTATCAAATATATAAGTTAATTCGTGCCATTTTATTTTCACTTTTTATATAATAATACATAAAAGTTGATCTATATTTGTTAATTATTTATAATAAAGTCATAAAAATATTGAAAAACTCTTTTAATATTTAAAAAAAATTCAGCTTAATTAAATTTTAATTTATTCTAACAACATGTAGATGTTAAAAAACAAACAATATTTTTCTTTCAGACTGCAGACGTTTGGTCTACCTCTTTCTACTGCAGATGTCTGCATATATGGTCCGTAGACCGCATACCTTTTGACTTAGAAAAAACAAATAATAACGTAGTATTGCGCTATCATTTTCACTTGCTATAACAATTTCTATTATATTAAAAATATTTGGTGAAGTTTAGTAGATTTAGTGACAAATATTTTATTAAATGACCTATTTTTAATAAGTATTTTTGGTATAATCATTTTAATAGCATATAAAAATAATTGATATGGAATAATTATAATACTTAAATGAAAACTTTAGGGGGTTTGGTCCAAGCCCAGCCGTTTACAGAGAGATATGAGCCCAACGATGAGAGGAATGGAAGATGAGTGTCATCTTGTTGCTTACGAGATTCAACTTCGTTTTTGAAATTTCTGCAACTCGAAGCAATTCCTTCTGGGACTAGGTCGCTCGTAGACTTTTTACATGTTTTTTCAACTCTCTTAAGCTTATTATCATTCCAATTTCGTTCAAATTTGACCCTTTACGATGATGTCCCCAAATCTTAGCCCTGACGATCGAGGCTCTTCTCATGCGGCTAATTTCAGGTATATTTGTCTGTTGATTTCGTATCAGTTATAAGGTCTTTTGATTTGGTAACCAATGCCCAACCTTTGCAAATGATTATAGAAAATTAGGAGAAAATTACACACAAGAGAATGAAACTGCCCTCAGGTATTGTTGTTGATCGGGGTTTTACAAATGATGTACTTCCAACTCTTTTTGGCCTATGTATTCTGTTGATTTAGCTCACTCACATTCTTTACTATTCACTAAACATTGAAATTAGTACTACGGAGAGTAGAATGTGCACGATGAAAGCTCATTTCAGTCGAATGGTTCTCTTTCCTTGTGGTACCCTAGTTTTCTCCTGATGTGAATGTGCCAATATTGTTTGCTATGAATATGAAAGCAGTTGCAATTTCTACTTGGTTTTGCACACACATGTACTTTCTATCAAAAATATAAAAGCAACGAAAAAAGAAAGAAGTGAACAACTTCCAATGAAGAGCGATTTAGAACAAAAGTTCCATAGAAACAACATATAGAGATTAGAGATAGATTAATATATCCTCTTATTGCTAGTTTTTTCAACTGATTAATATGTGTACAACAGGCACACTCCCTTGCAAATAATCCATTTCATTGGCAACTTCTTGAGGATATGGTCTGTGTATTCCATGTACAGCTATCTGTCTCAAACAGGAGCTTCTGTTGTACTTTTTATCTTCAGTTGTCTTGTTCCATCATCCATCCTCTTTTTAATTCTGCAAAAGCCATGGAAGGGAAGGCCACTCTCAAATACACAGGTAAATCTGAATCCTTCAGACATAATATTTCTGTTACTATATATCTTTTTCTTTAAAAAATGTCTTACTTTTCAGGTAGTACCTTCGCTTATTAATGGTGTGATTACAGCTTTATACTACATCTTATGGGGAGTAGGCCTCAAATCCTGTGGCCCTGTTAGGTATGTTTTTCTGCTTGATAAAACAGTAAAGTTGGCAACATTTTCCCTAAGGTCATTTTGGTCATTTCAGGGCTATTTTGGCAGAGTACTCAGGTGCTGTTCTTGGAGTTCTTTCTGCTGTTTTGTATGGCAGAAAAGGGCATATTTGGAAAAAAGTTGGTGGGCTGTTTGCAATGTTGGCATCTTTCTACTTCTTGTCTCAAGGATGGGCCACTGCTACATATTCTCCATTCTATATCCTCTCATTCATAAAAATCTTACTTTTTTTTTTAAAACTTTTTCTGTAAATCTGTTGTGAGTTTTATATTTGATGAAAGACTTAACTAGAAAATACCATATAATGATAGCGATGATACTGAAGGTAAAACACAGGAAATATTAAACATGAAGAGCATGATAGCTCCTATATTTGCTGGAGTTTTATCAGCATTAAGAAGGGTAATCACAAGACGTATCTCACTCAAGGTATTCTAAAAAATTGAAACATCTTTTTAACAATTTATAGTAACTAAAACATGATTAAACATATATTTTTAATTTGCAGAATCAACTAAAAAGAAGGCTTCATGCTATAACAATTGCATCTGCCACTTGCTTTCTGTTTCCAGTAGCCATGTGGGACATGATTGTAGTAAGTTTAAATACATTCATTTCTAGATTACTCTTTCTAGTTTTTACTACTTAAACATAATCTTTTCTTATTTATTTATTTTATATAAACAAACAGGGTTCTAGCTCAACCAATGTGGAATTACCATTTTCTGTTTGGGCTTTTTCAAGCACCATTCTCTTTGGTGTAATATTAATATTTTATGTGGACAGCATTGCTGAAGAAAGGTAATCCTAATTACTATCTATTTATTTATTTATTAATATTTTATATAATATTAATGGTATGAATGTAATATTTAGGCTGCATATGGTGTTCTCATCTCCAAGACATTTAATGGTTGCTGGAGGATGCTTAATTCTCATGGAAATCTTTTACAAAATGGACTTCTCATTACCAGGCTTTTTGATTTGCTGCATTCTATTGGGCTTTGGTACATCACTTTTATATCAAATTTCACTATTACTGTCTTATCATTTACTAAATACTATGACAATAAATTAAAATATTATTAACCTTTCATGGTTTTAACAATGTTTTTTTTTTGTGTAGGAATATACGAAGCAACTTCTTTGGAACGTGGGAAAAAAGAAAATTTAAATAATATTGATGTTGGGGATGGGATATTTGATGATCAAAGTCAAAGTCAAAGGTCTCCTCTTCCAACTTGATATATTTGAGACTCGTATCTTTGTTAATTGGTAAGTCCTGAATGTGTAATGATGTAATGATGTCTGTCTGGATAAAGTGTTGTATATGTCATGTCTGACTCTTTTGTCTTGTATTGCAGCATGGATTATGTGTATGTACATCACGAGAGAGAGAAGATTAGAAGCACGTGTTGCAGAATTGATAATATCTTTATATTCACAAGAACTCAAGAAGCCAAGAAATTTACTCATGAAGAGAGCTCAAGTGATGAAAATGAAGTGAATGTGAAAGTTGATTACTAACCAACTATTTTGAGTGTTATTACAAGATTAGTCACTTTTTTTTTTCACATTTTAATGTATGGGAAAGTAACCAACTAACAAATTTGTTCAAATTATACCAATATGACTTTCAACAGTTTTATCGGTTACCCCCTTTATGTGGCTTCTACAATCTATATGGTGCTCACGTGACATCCAAATTGTTGACATCAACATTAATAATACTATAAACATCATGAATGTAAACAACACACATTTGTCAGTTAACATGTCAAATGTTACTAATACTGTTATTGTTACAAAATCTATAAAAAAGAATGTTAATCGAATATACTTTAATTCAAAAAAGAGTTTCAAGGTCTCTATCCGAGTTCCAAATCTTCTCAACTTCATCAATGTTGTATAGCAACAAGTCTTTCTCTTTCCTTAAAGACAATAACCTCAAAACACAATCTATATCTTCCCATTGAGGATGCGAATGATCTCCCGCCGAAAATGCAAAAACACAATCTTTAACCTTAATCCAAGACCACCCCGGTTCCTTAACAACACCTTTTATCCTCATTAATCTCCTCAAATCTGCCGCTTCTTTCCACCTCCCTTTAGCCGAATACAAATTCGCCAAAGTAATATAAGTCGAAGGGCAATTTGGGGTTTTCTCAAGAACCTTGGCGGCTGCCCGCCGCCCAAAGTCAACATCACCGTGTAATCTACAAGCTCTCAACACGGTTGACCACACAACATCATCGCCACTAAACGGCATGTCATTTATCATGTTTTCAGCCTCACGTAATCGACCCGATCTACAAAGTAAATCGATCATACAACCATAATGTTCTTTAGATAAACTTAGGTTATATTTTTTAATTAGGTCAAAGTATCGAAAGCCTAAGTCAACTAAACCCGCGTGGCTACACGCGGTTAGAACCCCAATGAATGTGATTCCGTCCGGTTTTAAACCGGACCCAATGAGCCGCTCGAAGAGGTCAATAGCTTGTTGACTCAACCCGTGTTCTGCGTACCCGTTGACCATTGCAGTCCATGACACAATATCGTTACATTTAACCTCATTGAAAACCTTTAAAGCTTCTAAAATGGACCCACATTTCGAATACATATTGATTAAACCACTTTGAACCATGGGTTCATGATCAAGACCTACACATAGACAATGAGCATGAAGTTGTTTGCCTAAATCAAGAATCGCCATGGTCCCACATACGCTTAAAACACTAGCAAAAGCAAATTCATTCGGTTTTAATCCTTCGTTTCTCATTAAAGAAAGATACTTAAAAGCTTCATCTCCAAAACCCATTTGAGCATGTCCTCCAATTATAGTGCTCCATGAAACAATATCTTTTTGTCTCATTTCTTGAAAAACTATTGATGATGAATCTAACTTTCCACATTTTGAATACATTGTCATGATGGAATTAGCCACCGACATAAACTTTATAAAACCACTACGTAAAACACGCGCGTGAAATTGTGTACCGAAATCTATCCGTGCAAGATTTGCACAAGCAGAGATGAGTCCTGCCAGAGTGTACTCGTTAGGACTCACCTCTGATTCTTGCATACGCAAGAACGCGTTAATCGCGTTATGTTCTTGACCCGTTTGAACATATGATGTGATCATTGTTGTCCATGAAACAACATCTTTTGTTTTGATTTTATCAAATAAGTGTAACGCGTATTCACCTTTTCCACATTTGTTATACATGGTGGTAAGAGAGTTGGCCACAAATGATGTTGTATCAAAACCTTTCTTCAATGTTTGTGTGTGAATTTCTTTACCACTACGTAATAAACAAGCATCTGCACATGCTTTTAATGCGATAGCTATTGTGTAGGAATCATATGACATACCATTTTGTAATAAGTTAGAAAAATATGAGATCCCTTCGGTGTTGAAACCAGCACGAACTAACCCAGTTATAATTGCAGTCCACGAGACCACATTTCTTATAGGCATTTCATCGAACACTTTACAGCCTTCGTTTACTTTCCCGGTTTTCATATACATGTCTAAAAGAGCGCTGCCTACAAAGACGGAACTAACGAGATCGGTTTTTACTGAGTACCCATGAAGTGATTCGCCTTGTTTAGCACTGAAACTGAGAGCGCATGCCTTGAGTGCTAGACTGAATACGAAGGGGTCCATTCGTTGAGAGGGGTCGACCCACATGTTGGAGAATAAAGACAAGGCTTCAGATGAATTGGAGGTCTTTACGTAGCCAGATATTATGGTGGTCCATGTGATTTCATCTCTGTGAGGTAATTTATCAAACAGTTGGCGGGCGTCACTCAACCTATCTGATTTTACGAGCTCCTTGAGTTTGGAGTTGACTTCGAACATGTCGAATTGAGTGACATTGTGGGTTTCTTGAATTGATTGGGGTTTGAATGTTTGAGCGTAGGCAATACATGAGGTTGTATAGGATCTTTTGATACAAATTCTGGCTGATATAACCATGATTCGTCACTTATTTGGCATACAACGTTGATTGTTTACGCACCTACGAAATGTATAGCAACCATCAATAATGCTTCTGGTTCTAGCTTCCCTATTACAATAAATTGTCTTTGCTTTGTATAGTTTACGTTAATATGGGTATATTATGTAATTATGTTTCCAAATATGTTTAACGATGGATCACCAATTAAAGAGAAAATTACAAATATAATCAAAATCGTTAATTACTTTGTAGAAAATAGTAAAAAAAACTCAAATTACAAAAATAGCCATTAAAATCGCAGAAGAATTAAGCCCATCTGTAATTTCACCAAGCCATCGCATACAAGTCGCTAAAGCACATCGGTGCTTTAGCGACTTGTACATTCGCAGACGATATATATATATATATATATATATATATATATATATATATATATATATATATATATATATATTGATTTTTTCTGGTATAAATAGGGGGTACAAGTGACTAAAATCGCAAATGAACTAAGTTCATTTGCGATTTTCTCTCAGTTCATCTGCGATTTCGTATTTATTATTATTATTATTATTTTTAATAATTTTTACAACGAAATTGATAGGGTTTGACTATGAAACAACCATATTATATATAGAGTCTTGCAAAAAATTATCACTTTTGTTGTTATTTCTTTTGGAAAATTTGTTTAAAATCTCTTTAATAAAATGAATGAATATTTGCTTTGTCAAATCGTCCATAATGCTTCAAGAGAGAGAGTTCTCCAACGAAAAGTGTGAAAAATGAAACAAACAAAAAAAAATTACGTTTTTATACCTGCAAAAAATGTGAAATCGCAGATGGAATGTGAAATAGCAGATGGACTAGTCCATCTGCGAACGTACAATTCGGTAAAGCATTGATGTGCTTTAGCGACTTGTACGTTCGCATTAATCCATCTGCGATTTTGCAGGCTATTTTTGTAATTGGGGTTTTTTTTTGGCTATTTTCTACAAAGTAATTAACGGGTTTTGTTATATTTGTAACCAAAATAAAATTTTAAAATCGTTATTTTTACTATTTATATAAAAAAGTCATTTATATTGTAAAATGGAATTTATAATTTCTATGAAAAAGATAATGATATAAAAGTGTAACATATTTTTTGATTTGTATATATTTAATCAATGAATTTTATTTTGTCCATGTTTTCCTATTAAATTTGTTTGAATGGTTCAAAAAACATTTTTATGACATGCTATAGTAGGGTTAGCCGGTTTCTGGCGTATTTGAGGCTCTGGTAATCTTCTCCGGTGATTATTATTTTTCTGGCGACTGTTGGTAGAGAAAAAGGGTAAGAAACAGAGAAAATAACTAAGAAATGGAGGATTGGAGAGGGAAACGAGAGAGATCCGGAGGAGAAACCGGAGATCTGAGAAAGAGGGAGGGGCTGTGGTTTGTGGTGGTGAAGGTTTGGAACCGGATGAAGCAGAGATGACAAGCTTTAGAGGGCGACGACTGTTGATGGTGGCTTCGGGGGAGCCGATTTGGAATTCCAACAAAGTCGGTACCGGAGGGTGCTAAGGTTTCGGCAAATGCCGACAACCACGACAGAGGCGATGGAAGGCGATGGCCGAAATCTCGTCGGAAAAAAGCAGGTGGTTTTTGGTGTTGAAGGTCTTGATTGTAATGGTGGATTGGAGGTTAAAGATGATGAACAATGATCAGTTTTAATAGTGGCCAGAGAAAATGACCGAAATATCGCCGAAAAAGCATTGTTGGTCGGAGACTCACCGGAGAAGATGATCGGAGTCTCACTGGAGCTGCAAAGCTTCGCCGAAGCTGCCAAATTGAAACATCCCAAAAATACAGACCAAAAATTTCGTTTTTAATTATTAATAAAACCATAGTTATCCAAAACACATGTCATAATATCTCAAACATCATATCAATGTATATCAAAATATCAGAGTATAAATATCCCAGGCTGAACAAATCGTGTGTGCACTGCAATCATCCCGAGCCCTTCCCCTTGCTACCGGAAGTACCTGAAACCAAAACTGAAAACTGTAAGCACGAAGCTTAGTGAGTCTCCCCAAACTACCACATACCATACACATATCATGCAACTAGGAGATACGGGCCCCGCCCACACTCCGCTGTCTAGGAGATTCGGGCCCTGCCCACACTCCGCTACTAACATGCATACAAGTATCACACAGACAACCAATATATCTATTCCTATCAAGCAATCACATATCTATACTCAAATAATACTACGAGATTCGGGCCCCGCCCACACTCAGCTACTAACATATCACATATACGGGCCGACCTTGGTGTCGTAGACCCGTTCCTACTGAAGGAAACTCACCTCGTATGCTAACTGTGAAATCTCGTGTGAGGAATCTCTGACTGATGCTCCGACGACTCCCCGACTATCAATTTCATAATAACACTTAATCAAAATATGATAATCCTTCTTAGGGTAAAATGACCATCTTACCCCTGGTCAAAGTCAACGCTTGAGTCAAAGTCAACCTTCTGGTTGACCCAACTCGTCGAGTTGCTCCATCAACTCGTCGAGTCCTAGAACCTGAAATCGCGATCTAACTCGTCGAGTCCCCCCCTGACTCGTCGAGTTCCCAGGCTACTCACAGTCGCGATCTACCGATTTAACTCGTCGAGTCCCTTCATCGACTCGTCGAGTTCTACCTTAAGCTAAAACGGGACAAACCAACTCACCTCATCGAGTCCCTCTATGGACTCGCCGAGTTCCTCTGTCTGATTGAGCCATCTCAATGGATTAAGCTCCTACCCTTCAGATCTAAACTCCATACTTCACCTACACATTGGGAATACACTTTTAAGGGTAAAGTTTCCAACTTTACCCGCTATTAGTCCTTCTATATGGGTTTAGCTCAAACCCTAACTCTCTAGAACATAGATCTTGGTCCACAAGCCATAATACTCTAAACCAAAGCACACTATAATAGATATAGGCCTTAGACATCAGCTGGACACATAAAGTTCCAAGCTTTCCTTCCATGCATGGCCTTTTAGGGCTAAAAAGACCATAATAACGCTTTTAAGCTTGCATGGGGCTTCCATGGTCATAAAGTTTGCACCTTTATGCCATGGAACCCCTTCTAAATCCCAGATCTGAAATGTAAGTCACTTGGGACATCCAAATCCCAAAGACCAAGGTTTTTGAACCAAAACCCTCACAAAAATGGAAGTAAGTAGATCTAATGAATGAATGATTAAGCTAGAGACTTGATTACCAGAAAGTGATAAGGATGGAAGGAAATCCCTGGATCTACTATCTTCTCCTTGAACCTTCTAGCTCCTTCTTCTTCTTCTAGCTTCAAGAACACACAAAATCACTCAAGAATGGCTCACACACTCACAAAATGTTCTAGGGTTTAGGGTTTAGGACTTGGAGGCTGGAAATGAGGCCAAAAGGTGGGGATTAAGATGCTTAAATAGGGTGCAAAACCCCGAAATTAGGGTTTCACTCTGACAGGCCTACTCGCTGAGTCGAGGGCTCTTGACTCGTCGAATAGGTGGTTGAAATCCCGCGTCCAAAAACTCAATTCTACTCGACGAGTCTGGGGCTTCCAACTCGTCGAGTAGCTTTATAAAAATGAATAATTTGTAAATAAATGCGTACCAGAGACCGGGCGTTATACAAATAGGCCAAAAACCTACTATAGCAGGTCATAAGAATGTTTTTTTGAACACTTCAAACAAGTTCAATGGAAATATATATATATATATATATATATATATATATATATATATATATATAAACTCAGTGATTACATGTGTACAAACAAAAAAATAAATTATCTTTTTAAGTTATTATCCCTTAAAAAATCTATTAATTTTTCACATCATTTTTCCAAAACAAAAAAGAAATTTATTTTGCAAAAACATATTAATTTCTTTTACAAAATTTTGCAGCTTGTTGTTGAATGTGTTATTTAGTATCTATATCTATATCTATATCATACTATACTTATAAAAGAGACATTTTTTTCTATCACCACAATCATATGAAAGTTCCATGTCTTTTCATATTTCTTTATAATAATGATTCCATAATATCTATTTAAACCTACATAACTTTTCACTAGCATCTAATTAACAACTACCACTCAATAGTTTTTTTTTAACTTATGATACTTACCAATTGATTAAAATTGAGATATATATAGTTCACAATGGTAAATTTTTATTATAATGGTTTAAAGAGTTGTGTGAGTGGTTGATAAGTAGATTAGAAAACTCCATACAAAAAAATTGTGTATGGAGAGCATAAGTAATAAGAAAGAGGAAGATGATGATGAGAAGGAAATATAAAAGTTTATGGTAAGAAATATTGCTTCATTTTCTTCTTTTTTATTATCCAAATTTATACTGTATATTTATGATTTTGGTTGGAATGAAAAATATTATATATGAAGATGCTCTAATCATTGCCTCTTGATTCACATGAGCAACAAAACTACTTCAGAACAATACAAAACAAGAATGGATACAACTAGCATAGTTCATACTTCATGATTTTAAAATGGTGGTTCAATTTACTTTAAAGTTTTGCATTTTCTTTTAATGAAAGTTATAATTATGTTCAGCGGGGTCCCAAAAGGAAGTTATGCAACTAAACATCTAAATTCTAAACCCAATGGTCCATGTCATATAAATTATAATGGAGTTTGCAAGATGGTGCATGTTAATGTTCATTCCACCTCAAATTGTATACCTAGAATTTTAAAAAGATTCATTGGGTGTGTTTCCAGGGTGATGTAATGGAGTGCATGTCGAAGTTTAATTTTATAGGTCTTCAGTTGTGTTGGATGTTCACAATCGATTACATGGAAATAGTCCTATAGATGACAATTATGTAGTTGATAAAGCTTATTAAAATTCATTTTGCTATATTCCATAAAATTGATAAATTTGAATTGTTGATATATCATTACAGACTATTATTTGATTATAAATCGTTTAATCATTCATTGATCTTTTTAAATGA